AGACACCGTGACAATAATAAACGATAAAGTTATAGAAAAAGTTGAAGAATATATATACTTGGGACAAAAAATAATCCTAAATAGGGAAATTCAGACTGAAGAAATAAAAAGAAGAAGAAAGTTAGCTTGGGCAGCATTCGGTAAACTTAACTATATACTAAGAAATCAACAAATTCAATTACGTCTTAGATCTAAAGTTTTTGATACATGCATTATTCCGATATTAACTTATGCGGCACAAACATGGACAATTACAAAAAAGAATATGAATATCCTTAGAGTCACTCAACACGCGATGGAAAGAGCACTGCTAGGTATATCACTTAAGGACAAGAAAACAAACACATGGATAAGACAGAAAACCAAAGTCACCGATGTGGTGCAAAAAGCATTAAAGCTGAAATGGGAATACGCTGGACATGTAGCTAGGAGCGATCTAAACAAATGGCACAGATCAATTTTAACCTGGAGACCATACCAACACAAAAGACCCAGAGGCAGACCTCCTATGAGATGGACAGATGATCTGAAAAGGACTGCCGGGAAAAATTGGCTACAAGTAGCGTACAATAAAAACCAATGGAAAGGAAGACTTGAAGAGGCTTATGTTCAGATGTGGACGTGAATGGCTAGACGAAGAAGAAGAAGAAGGATTCAGGATTGTATGAGAAGATGGTATCCCATTGGATGCTGATACTGCTGTTAACCCATCAGGCTGGATGGCTCATGAGAATTTCGAAAAATATTTACTGCACTTCATTAGGTATTTCTGAGTAGACATGAATCATAAGTGTCTGCTGATACTAGATAACCATGATACCCATATTTTGCAAAAAGGGCTTAATATCTGTAAAAACAATAGGGTAATACTAGTCACCATTCCACCTCATACTAGCCATAAGTTACAGCCCTTGGATACCAACGTTTTTGGGCCAGTTAAAAGATTTTATAATGAAACAGCCGATAACTGAATGGTTAATAATTCTGTACAGCTGATATCCTTAAAAAAATACCTGAACTTGTGGAAAGTGCTCACGTTCGCGCTTTTATACCTGCCAATATCATAGGTGGTTTTCAGATACTGATATTTGTCTGTACAGTCCAGTTGTATTTACAGATGGTGATTTTATCAGTGCGAAAATTACAGACCGGCCAGATCCTTCTCAAACTTTACAGGCAACCGAAAATTTACTTTTGGCTACTCCTTATACTTCCCAAAATAATCCAAATGCATTTGTAAGCCCTGAGGTTATAACTCCATTTCCGAAAGCTCTTCCACGTAAAAAGAAAGCTGGAAGGAAATGTGTGAAGCACGGATTTTAACGGACACCCCCGAAAAAACCAAATAGAAAAAGAATTTGAAGAAAGAGCTAAGAACAAGGAAAACCAAAATAAAAAAAAAGGAGAAAATGATGGAAAGATTTAAAAAATTGGCATTAGAAGGTGAAAAACAAGTGTCAGTTAAACAAAATGAAATTGGGATAGTCATGAAGGACTCTGAACTAACGATTCTTTCAATTTTTTGAGTTCTGATGAGTTAAATAATATCTAATAACATATTGAATAAGAAAATGCTGAAGAAAGCTTTATGAATCAAGACGTTTGTAAGAATGACTATATTCTTGTACAATTTTTAACCAAAAAGACTTTCCAACATTACGTTTCTAAAGTCATAAATATTAATGGCAACGACTACGACCAAATTAAGTTGATTAAAAAATGTACTCAGTTAAGGAGAAAAGAGCAATAATAAAAATGTTTTATTCATGTTTTCTTATAACATTTGTTATAGTTTTATGTTTAGAAATTATCGTATATTATTATTAGGAATAAATATCACAGTAACAGTATATTGGAATTCATTGAATTGTTGTATTAAAGTTAACTTAACATGGAATTAAATTTTAGTGTATAGAATATCTTACTTTAAATAAAGATCCGGTAGTGACAGGAAAAGGTTCGCGCTATTGCCTGAAAACATTATGCGATTTTTCGTCAACTGAGTACATTTCATTGTATTGATCGATTTGTAAACAATATAATCTATTGTTCACGAAGTAATATTGTTCAGGAGTAGTAGTATTTAGTAAAATTCATTGTTTATAATTTAATCATAAAATAAAAAAACTTGACAATTCAAATTGTCAAACATCTGACATGAATATGATAAAACACACACGTTATAATATATTCTTGTATTACGTGTGGCCTAACTTTTAGGGGTGGTCTGAAAAATCTATTATATTTTTGCAAAATTTTGAAGTACATTTGATTCGTAGAACGGTTTTAACATTTGTTTTTAATTTAGAATTTAGTCCTCTACAAATAGTTTTGATGTATTTTGATCTAAAATAATTAGGGAAGCAGCAATTCAACAATTTAAAATTTCCCATTGAGTTTCCTATGGCCCGTTTGACGATTCACCACCCGGTATATATATATATATATATATATATATATATATATATATATATATATATATATATATATATATATATATATATATATATATATTCTTTATATACTAAATATTATAATTTAATATTACTACGTATATAATAAAAGTGTGGAATCATTTAATTTATCAATTCTAAAAGAATTGGCCATTCATCACGCTTAAATGCTTATATTCTTATTGTACGTTTCATACTGTTAATCCCATTTAAATCCACGGTAGGCTTTTGTGTCGTTACCGAAGTTATACCTACAATGTCTTCACTTGAATTTCGATTTCTTTCACTTTCATGGCCCCCAGCGGTTATTAAAATTTGTTGTTTTATGTGCCATCCGGAATGGGTGAGGCTGAATGTGCGATATGACATTATTTGAAGACGAAGATATTTACGTCTGTTTTTCTCGTACCATGAGAAAGACAAAACGCTAAATTTTGTAATTATCTATTTGCATTATTGATTAATAGATAGAAACTTTTTTCACCTTTGGACGGATATCTGATGTGTGATTTTTGTAAATGTATTATTTTATTCATTATCTTACAAATGGCAAAGCCTTTTTATTTATTAAATTATTAATTTTTTATTCATATTGCTTAGCTTAATTGCTTCATAAGGCCAAATGTAGGGTTCAACTTGAGGTCTTGATTTCAGTTTTTTGAAAAAAGTTAGTTAAATAATAATTTATTTAGAAATATAACACAAACCTGCGATAAAATGGCAAAATATCCGGAAAACCGGAAAGATTCTAACCAAATTTTCGTCTTTTAAATCATTAACTACTGTTCTAAGGGTCCAAATGGTTCTGAGTCCAAATTAAAGGTATTTAGGTACATCATATATATTTTTTTCGAGCGATCCTAATTCTTCGTTATTTATTTAAAGGCATTTAAAAGTTTCAAACGCTCAAATCAATTTCAATTTCCCGCCAACCCAAATAGTTTTGTATAGCACAAAAAAACCTTTAAGTTAAATAAAACAAAACCTATTTTGGTAAGCAATTAAACGATATATGGCCAAAAAACGATTTTTGACTTTTAATGAAATTTTGAGGTTAAGCTTCAATATTTTGGGCTAAAATTTGGTGAATCTTCATTTCTGAAAATTTGAGCTTAAGTTTCCGTTGGGACAGTTTTGATATTTTTATCCAGCTATACCCTTTATTAATAGAAGAATAGATAGTACATGGGCAACCATTCGAAAATTAAAGTCCATATTGTATTCTAATATCGTGTCCCCTTACTAACCTACTGTACCAAATACAATGACAATGATCAGGATAAAGACGGGGGTAGCAGACGATGTTGAGGCTATTATGTTAAAATGGAATTGCGTACAATGATGGATAAGCACTGGACAAGAAAGATAGTGGAAAGGCATCCTATACACGAAGTTAACAGAAGTGGAGGCAGGCCACTCAGCCGATGGACCAAAGACGTAAAGAGAATTGTTGGAACCCGAATAAAAAGGACATAAGATAAAGGGAAGTGGCAAAAACTTAGGGAGGCCTACGTTTAGCATTAGACTTTTTGGATAAAGATATCTTTAGATAGTTTTTAAATAGTTAAATGAAATAAATAGTTAAAAACTTTGGGGCTAACTCGGTTATTCTTCTGTTCCGTTTATGTATACAGATTTTTCCAATCACATTTTTTTGTATATTATACCTACATTATAACATATATTATGCTGGTCGTCTTAGACGCCAATACCAAAAATAGACGTGTAATTACCATCGACAATTAACAAGTAGGAAAGTGTTGTCATAATTAAATGAAGTAATATGATGTCTTCTTTATTACAAAATTAGTGTGTCAAATTTATAAAGTGAAATTTCACTTTCGTCCTTTGTAAATCACCGATAAGTATCTAATAAAGTAATGGATATACATGTAGCGGTTGGTTGTGTATTTCTGCATTATTTTATTGCAAAGTGGCGGTTTGCGATAAAATAGCAAAACTTTGTTTTCAAACTTCCACAAAATTTATTTTAACTCTTATCACTACAGCTGTTTCGGCTGATTGCCTTTCTCAAGTGATCTATTTTTGGCATGCGTTTACAATTTATAGTCTCTAATGCAATATGTTGAGGAGGGGAGAACTGTTTGTCTCAAGTTGGTCATTCAGAATTATATCTGTGTTTTTTAATTTGTTGATTTTCATAGATTCTAACAAAGATAGCTTAAGGCCTTTATTTTGAATGTGAAGAATTTTAAATTTGTCATTAAAAGAATGATTATGATCTAGAAGGTGAATATTTTAGTTCTTATTTTTGCTAGTGCTAGTTTATGTTCATTTGCTGCGTCTGCTGAGTTTAAAGTTCGGATATCTAGAATCTGCTTTGAGTGGATTTTTCTATTATTGACTATAAAATTAATCATAGATTTGTGTCCCCTGAAGTTTTTAAAGGTACATTTATACTCTAGCTTATGATTGAAATATGTAAGATTGATTCTCAGAGTCTTTTATGTATATATCTAAAATTTTACTGCACTATGTTTTTTCGCCTAATTTTATAAAATAGCTTAATAAATAGATTATAATATAATAATAATAATATATTAATAAGATCATTATTATTAAACAGTAAGTACTTAACTTAACTGTACCTAAGGTTGCTATGTATATATCGTCGCCTCAAAGCAACTGTAGGATATGTAAAAAAAATGACTTTTGTGATATTCATGTCAAATGATTCGAAATAAACCCTTCTGTTGAGTGAACCACTAGGATAAATAAAATCTTTTTTCGCACAAATTTTATAATGTTGCACTAAAACAACATACATATCATACCATTATATTTTGTCGTTTACACATTTTGGTCATCAATATTAATGCAACACTAAATTATCTTACGCACATATCCTACTGTTGCCATATAGTTGCGATTATGTCTTTGTTTATACTATCCAGCTTGCGGTCACAATTTTATCTTTAGTAATCTTAAACAATAGTTCTATTAAAAAAGAAAAAAAAAAGAAAAGAGGTTAGTCTTTGTAAATGGGTATATTTATTTAAAAAACCCTTAAAAGGGCTACATCAATAAAACAAACGTTTTCGGACCACACAGTCCATCATCAGGTTTTCTTCAAGTGCCGTCTCCATAAATGGAGGTTAGCGGTTATGGTGGCAAACGTTTGTCTATCTTCAGCTGCTCTTAAGAGTTCCTCAAATCCAAGTCCTGTCCAGTTTCTGATATTACGTGACCAGGACAATTTTTTTCTTCCAATTCCTCGCTTTCCTTCTATTTTGCCTTTTATTATCAACTGAGGGATGTAGTATTTCTCGTTGCGCAACAAATGCCCTAAATAACTGGTTTTTCTTCTTTTGACTGTTCTCAATAGTTTTTTTTTCTAAATTGAGTCTAGCTAGTACTTCTTCATTTGTTTTTCGTGCTGTCCAAGGAATTTTTAAAATTCTACGGTACACCCACATTTCAAATGCCTCGATTCTATTCAGGCTCTTTATTTTTAAAGTCCACGTTTCGGCTCCGTAGAGAAGAACAGACCAGATAAAACATTTTACAAGTTTTAATCTCAATTTAATATTTATATGTGTATCGCAGAATAGAACGCGCATCTTAAAGAAACTATCCCTAGCTTGAGCAATTCTCGCTTTAATTTCTTGTTCTGGGTCCAGCTTGCAATTAATCCAACAGCCAAGGTATTTGTATTGGTTTACCTGTTCTAAAATATTCCCATTTATTTTTATAGGTAAGGGGATATTCTGTTTTCTTTGGATCACCATTACTTTTGTTTTTTTTTTCGTTGATCTTCATTCCAAACTCTCGACAAGCATCCTTAAGGTGGTCTATACCCCTCTGTAAGTTTGTGTCTGTATCAGCCAGTAGGACAGTGTCATCTGCATATCTTATGCTAGATATTGGTTCTCCATTAATTTTTATTCCTGTGGAAAGGTTTTCCAAGGCTTGCTTGAATAGTAGTTCCGAGTAAAGATTGAACAGCATAGGGGATAGTATGCATCCTTGCCTTACTCCTTTATTTATACTAATATTTCTAGATGTATTATCGTGGATCCTAATCTTGGCACTCTGCCTACAATATAAGTTCTTAATTAATCGGAGATCTTTACTATCCAAGTTGATGCTCTGCAAGGAATTTAACATTTTATTATGGTTTATGCGATCAAATGCCTTTTCAAAGTCTACAAAACATAGAAAGTCATCCTTTTGTTGGTCGTAACACTTCTGCAGCAGTACTTGTAATGAAATAGTTCTATTACATTGATGTTAAAAGGTGTATGTTAAAGAGTAAAAATGAATAATTCGGTCAATTTAAATTGTACAAATTATGGGTATCTAGAAGTCAGTATTTAGTGTATTTAGAAGATTACGAACAGAAATAACACTGATTCTGAGTTGTTATCTGGAATTTATCAAGCACAAGAAAAAGGTAAGTGAGATTCATGATACATTCCTCTTTAGAAATTTTGGGCTGATTTAACAAAATACAATAAATTTATACTTTCACAACTTTCAGTACCCGTTATTGTCAAATTTTAAAATTTTTTGGAAATAAGTATGTTCATGTTTTTATTTATGTAATAATATGTTTGAACAGCAAAAATGCTTTGTTTTTGTATTGAAATGTGTAAAATTTTAAACAAAATTTTAGTGCAATATAAGTTTATATAACAGAAATATACGGATATCGATAAAAAACAGATTACCTTTGAGGGCAACAGTAGGACAACTAACTTTTTTTTAATTATTTTTCACTTTTTTATTAATTAATATAAATTGTTATTTGGCACATGTAAAGTTAAGTACTCAAACAAAATTCCACGTAAATCCATTCAGATATAAAAAAGTTATTAATTAATGAAATTTCGTAAAATTTTCAAATGCGTTTTTTTTTTTCGAAACTACATTATTTTAAATATCCTACTGTTGCTTTGAGACGACGATATTAATTTATTTAAATAATTTTACAAGGAATGTTTTTTATATACAAATTAACAACTATTTTACAATCAAAAATCTGTTACCCATCTATAGTCCTCCCAAACCAGATAATGCATCATAGTCAGACACAGTATTTTTTGGGACTTCACTTTCACCAGACCTTCCATCAGCAGTGTTTTTATCCAAATTAATTTTATTATTGACAAGAACTTGATAACCGCTGTTACTTAATTTAACATCTTTAGAAGACACAAGGCTTGAGGACGAATCACCGTCCAAGTTAGTATTAATATAAACATTAATGACCGGTTCAGGACACTGACCGGTTGACACGCTTGGATTAGTTGGATTAGTAGGAACTGGGTTTCCTGGAAACATTTGTACTTCACATATAAAATATCGAACTTTGTTGCAATCTTCATCACTCCAAAAGCCCATCATGTCTACTTGAATGCATTCTTTGGAAGCCGTTCTGGTTGGTCTTCCAACTGCCCAGTTGGAATAGATTATGTTTTCCTGTGCGGTAGGCCATGTCCAAGTTCCGTATTTTTTCTTACCGCCAATCCAATAAGGGCCAGCAACGTCTTAAAGAGATAACATATTTGAATATTCTACTCAAGAATGTTAAAAAACTTTACAATATAAAAATTTAAATATCGGAGTTAACACTTATACTTAACAACTAGTATTGTACAAACAATAATTATTATTGAAAACAAATAATAACCAGGAAACTAAAACCAAAACTGAAAAAAAAAAGACTAAGAACAGTAATTAACAGTGAAGAAAAACTATGAGAAAAAATTCCACTAGGAAACTAAGTTCCTGTAGCTGGCTGTATACCATATATCACAAAAAATTGTTTAAAATCCTTTATAAAAGGTATATAAAAAATGCCCCAAACGGGCTATCACAAACACATTGCAAAACGTTTTCGGATTGATAAATCCATCATCAGTGCAAACGGTTGTACATGCTAGTAGCCACCAAAATATATGGGTCAAAACACAGCCACCTTTACTTCCAAGCCATGAAGTAGAAATTTGGCAACAACGCGTGGTAGTCCGACTGTGGTTTGTTTTGGTTTAACATTTCATATAGGAAGGCTTGTAAAGTTTGTTGAATTTATTGTTTTTTTAACTTTATTCGAATGTTTTATTTGTAAATTGTGTTTAAATTAATTAGAAAATATTAATATAAGTGAAATTTCATTAAATTTAGAACTTTTAGAAGCTTTTTAACGACAATTTAAAAGGCAAGTATAAATATAACCTACAAAACAAACTGAAAATAATAATACTTTTGCATCTTGTTACAAAATATGTAAACTAAAAACAACAATAATAATACTTTTGTTTTTTGTTACAGATGCTCTGGCATTGTTGTGTACCTGGTTGCAACACCAATTATGCCAGTACTTTAAAAACAAAACAGGCAGAAAGTATGTTTTTGTTTCCTAAAGATCCCCAAAGAAGGTATACTGGGTTATGCTCTATTCATAGAGAAGGCTGTACAATTACCAAATCTTCCGTAGTATGTTCCAAACATTTTCATGAAGATGATATTCAGCGGACTGAACAATGAGAAGATAAAGATGGAAATGTACACATTGAAAAGTTAATATTTCCCAAATTAAAAGGCTTTCCCAGTTCCTAATATATTTCCTGAAGTACCATCATATGTAACTGTTCATCGTACTAAAGAAAGAAGGAATCCCAAAGACAGAAGAAACTTTTTGCATAAGAAGAGGGAACAAGAGATAACATAATTATGTCAATTAGACTTAGACAATAATATCCCATTGAAAAACTGGACAAGTAAAATTACAAGTGACTGTGTATATTTCTATGTATTAAACATTAATCAGTTGGGACACAAGTGTGATAATATTTGTGTAATATGTAGTGTAATAGCAGTAATTTTAGTGTAATCGTCAATGTAGGTAAGAATAGAATAAGTGGTAATGATTTGAAATGGATTTTACAATATAGTAAATTAACAAGATGGTCACAATTAGAGAACTTACTTTCTCATTTAGATCTGCTTTTTAGATATGTGATAACAAATTTGAGTATTACATTCAAAAATCTTTTGAGAATATAGGCTATTTTAAATCGATATACAAGTTATAAATGGTATGTTACATTCAACACATTTTTCATGTAGGTATACCTCTTTTAACTTGGTCTATATGACAACAAACCTATTCATATTTAAAATTGCTACTTTTGTATATCTAAGTATGAAAATTCAACAAAAGTTATAAGTAAATGGTAAAATATTTAATTTTCAATTAGATTAATTTAGAACCATATTTATATTGTGTCTGATTTCTTAGGATGAATTTTTTAATCATAATAGTTACACTAAGTTTTTACTTAGCACAAATTTTATATCTTTTGTATTTTTAATAATCTTTTTAAATGTCGTGTTAATGTATTGGGTTATTTATATGATTAAGTATTTAATATTTAAAATTTCTAGAGATTCTTGACTGCATTTGATTGTAAGATTAACTGTTTGACACTGTATTTTAAGTGCAATAAATTTTACTCTAGTGATTATTTTATTGATAATATAACCTAAATAATAATAAAACTTTATATATATTTACTAAGTATATATAAGGTTTTATTAATTTAATTTCCCTAAAAATATTTCTGTAATGAATTGAAGTTTTCAAAATATCAGTTTCCTAAAATTCAAATTAGTTTAATATTCTGGTAGACCTTACAGATGATTATCGGACTACCGACGTCATAGAATGCGGTGTTGCCTTTTTTACTTCATGGCTTGGAAGTAAAGGTGGCTGTGGTCAAAACCATTTAAATGTTTTAAATTTGTAGTTGTTTTACATTATTAATAGTTATAATTTGTGATGTTTAAGTTACCGTTGGATAGGTAACATGCCGGCGTATAACTTTAGATGAGTAAAATGGTCCTGAGACGAAGTGTCTACGAGGACCTGTTGATAACAACTCACTCATTTCTGCTAAATTTTTACTATTATGCTAAATAATTGTAGTCAATGTAAAACTGGTTGCCTACCAAAGGCAATGATAGGTAATTTTCAAACAGCTTCTGATTTTTAAAAACACGCGATACAAAAGTACTCGAAATTACGATCTAGTATTATGATTTGAGTCTTAATTTTAATTAGTATAAGGCCGTTTTTCTTGTTGATGGGGTCAATATATGTGACATATACATGACATGGCTAACTTCAGACCAGGCAAGTTTACTTAGTAAAGGCAATTTTTAAAATATAATTTTGATGAAGTGAATGACAACGTTTGGTCAAAATCAAATCACATGATCACATGATCTGAAGGTCTAAAAGATTTAGTTGTTAAAAATAAAAAGAACAATCCTTACTTGTATCTAACAAAAGCCATTTCAAATCAGCGTTTTTAATTTCATTAATAACTTCTACCAGTTGCATATCGTGATATTCACAGAATCTTGCTGCCTGCTTTTGGGTACCCTAAAAATTAATTACGGTAAGATTAAAAAACAAACATGAGCTACAATTTTCAATCTTCACTACAATCAGAGCTACTGGAAACTATTTACAGGGCTGGCCTGACATACCATGCGCGAGTAACGTAAAGTTAAGAAGCCGGGGGGTGAGAGTGGTCAAACTTTTTTGCTTCATTTTTGAGGTCCCAAATGGGACTATTAAAGGACTAACTAAAAAATCCAAGAAATCTATTTGGGTGTAAGAATGTGTCTAGTTCAAAGTACTTGAAGAATACGAATAAAATCAGAATTTGGATGTCAGCATATTATTATGAGGTTTTTTTCCTGGTTTTTCCCTCATAATTTACTATGGAATCACTAACAAGACAATTTTCCTGTCATCATGGCATATGTTTGTCTTTTTAAAGACGAATTACACACTATGATTTTTCTGACGGATATTTTCAAGTTAATTCTTCAGAAAAATATTACGAATAAAACTTTAAATATGTTCCGACAAACATAAATTCGCTTGGAGATGAGTGGGACAATAACATGTTACCTTGTTGTTTCAGAATAGAAAACATTCATGAATGATAATTTATTTTTAATACTTCTAATATTGCAAAAATTCTATATATGTGTAAACGGCCTTTACAAAGTAGCCAAGAATTAGTTTATCTTGAAAATATTTTTAAATCATTGTTTTTTATTGGATTATTATATTACCTAATCAATTATAAGCAATAATTTTCTATTGACAGTGATAGATAGAAATTTAAACTGTATAAATATATTGATACATGTCAACAAAAACATTGATTAATTTGTTATGTTTGTGTAACTTAAAGCAATAAAATTACAGTTATAATTAATATTACCGTAAAATACAGCAGTTTATCTTATTTTTATTAATGTTATATCAATACAAAAGCATATACATTATAAAAATGACCAATTATCAGTTATTTCTGACCTAACATAATAACAGCAAATACTTAAATCTAAGGGCTTACCCTATGGTTTACTCTTATTTTATCTATTAACTAATGCACTACAACTAACATGCAATAACTTCACATCACTATACTCTGCTTTTTACACTAAACTGTTACCCATTTACGCTAGCTCAAATGGTTTTGTCCTTATGAGTCTTCTCTTTAGTTCAGTGTTGTCAAGAAGCTGGATTGCCTCGACATTTATATGACTATGCAGCCTCTGCTCGTGACTTGCTGCTGTTTTCTTAATTATTTCGATAACAGTTTCCATACCCAGGTCCTGGTGGAGGTTGCTGTTACGGATATACCAAGGAGCATCAACAATGTTTCTCAGTACTTTGTTTTGAAATCTCTGGATAATCTGTAGGTTACTAGCTTTAGCCCCAGAGTTGGCACCCATATACCCATACTGGCCTCAGTACTTGCTTGTAGATGGATAATTTATTATGAATTGATAATGTTGAATTTTTCCAATTAGCCAATACAATTTCTTATATCTAATATCAAGCTTCCCTATTTTCTTTTTGACATGGACTTTCCTGCTCAGCTTCACGTCTAGGGTGATGCCCAAGTATTTTGCTGATGTCGCATAAGGAAATCGGGTATCATTTATTCTAACTGGGAAATTTTCTATTTTTTTATTTGTAGAGTTAATGTATGCAGATTTAGTCTTATTTAATTTTATTCGCCATTTTCTGGTCCAATTATGTATTTTATTTACTGATAGTTGCAACTTATCAGTCGCTTCTTCACTAGTGTCTCCTATCGCTAGTATGGCTGTATCATCTGCGAAGGTGGCAATGGTATTTTGTTCTAGCTCTGGAATATAACACGTATACAATTGGTACAGGACCGGACCTAAGACACTCCCTTGTGGCACGCCACAAGGGAGTGTCTTTGATCTCCCTTAAGCCGGTGTACACTTCTTCTAGTTTTACTCTGAAATATCTATTCGCAATGTATAATTTCAAGATTTCTGAATACTGTATAGGCATGAACGTTCTTAGTTTATAGTTTAAACCGTCATGCCAGACTTTATCAAACGCCTGTGCTACATCCAAGAAGATTGTAGAGCAGACTTTATTTTCTTCTAATGTTTTTTTTTTCTATTATATTCGTTATTCTGTGAACTTGATCTATAGTGGAATGTTGATTTCTGAAACCAAATTGATGATTTGGTACAAGATTTTATCTTTTTATTATTGGTTTTAATCTTTTCAATAAAAGTTTTTCAAATAGTTTTGATATCACCGAAAGGAGTGAGATTGGTCGATAGGATGTCATTTCATTAGGAGATTTACCTGGTTTAGCGATCATAATTACTTCGGCTACTTTCCGAGTCTGGGAACATATCTCAATGTAAAAGCAGCATTTATTAGGTGTGCCAGTTTAACTATGACTTTTCTTGGTAGATTCTTTAATAATTCTCCTGTTATGAGATCATATCCTGGAGCTTTAGTAGGATTTATATTCTTTTTTATCTCTGTTGATACTTCTATAAGTAATATCAACGTTATTCTTTCTTCACTTTTCTTCCCATCTCAGTTCTTCACCATTATTGTCGTTGGGTTTGAACGTGCTTTCTAAATGATCTAAATTGATAATGATTCTAAATGAATTTTTTATCATCTGTATCTCTCTTTTTAGTTTTTGTGTAGCATTATTTAGACTAGTTTTGTTTCGTGGAACTCTGCATTGCTGCCATTTTTTTCTTAACTTCCTTTTTTCTACTATGAGTTCTCGGATTACTATAATTACTCGTATAAAAACTTCTAATTCGTCATCGAGTTACCTCGTATTTCTCAATGGCATACATTAATTTGGCAACGAAATTATTACCACCGTAAAAAGATCAGAAGATTGGGAAAGCTTAGACCTGACAATGCATATGCTGAACTCATAAAGCTACTTAACACCGACGGTACTCAACGCTCAACAAAAATATTTAATGACATTATATTTAAGGGGAGTATTACCAAGAACAGTTCTGAAGTCGACGTTTGTTACTCTACCAGAGAAAACAAAAGTATAGAACAGAGAGTTAGGATTTGATTTCACGTATAGTGCCTCTAAAATTCGCTTATAAGTATTTCGTCCTTTAAAGTCTCATCAGAGCGCCACAGTAGGAAGTCCTAAACATAAAATTCTTACTTAGATGAATCAATATGATGTGGAATGCAATTGTAGATTCCCTACGTCGGTTTATTCAGCGTTTGTTTTCTTTGAAAATCGTATAAGGCACAGATTTGGGTAAAAATCTGAATTTGGGTTTCGAACATATAGTAGAAATCTTCGGATTTTTACTTTTTATTAAGAGGCTATGTTACGTTGTTTACGAATTACGTGTTAAGTAGTTGTTTAACATAATTGTATTAAGTTTTAACAATGGAAGCAAGTGTGTTGGAAATTAGTATAGGAAAAAAAGAAAAGTCAGACCAAGAGGCAAAAATTGCAAAAGCAAAGGTAACAGGTAGAAAATAAATTAAGATGTTCGTTACCTAACCCATTTTTTGTTTTAGATATCGTGATAGTGATCCTCATTTGGAAAACTTTGCAAGAGTTTGCAAATACAATGGCCCTTCTTATCACTGCAACAGTATTGTTGAAAGTGATATTCGAGCTATTCGAAATAAAATTATTGAAAACAAAATGTTCAACATTTTCTGTTATGATTTTGTATTGTTAGATTTGTCTGGTCTCGGCTCAGTATTTTTGTTTTACTGTATTTCATTTTTAAGCCTACTGCTCCTGAAACTGCATTTAATTGTTGTAACATATCATTTAGTTCTTGGATATTATTCATCTGCTTCATCATGGTCATCTGCGAATCTCAAGTAGTTTAAGTATGATCTGTCGACGTTGATAACCTTGTTGTTACATTCTAGTTTCTTAAAAATGTCTTCTAGAGCAAGGGTAAATAGTTTGGGAGAGATGGTGTCTCCTTGTCTTACTCCCCGTTGTAGTCTTGTGGGATTAGTTTTTGTGCTTTCGTCCAGCTTTATCTGCATGGTGGCATTTTCATATATGTTTTTAATTATATTAGTATATCTTGATTGAATCTATACGTACCTTTTCTAGAGATTCAAGAACTGCCCATAATTCGATGGAATCGAATGGTTTATGGAAATCCACGAACGCCATATGAATTGGAATATTATATTCGGTGCATTTTTCTAATAATGTTCTTACGATGTGCAAGTGGTCTATGGTACTAAAATGTTTTCTTAATCCAGCCTGCTCGATAGAATGATAGAAATCGAGCTTGTGTTAGGTGGTTGGTTATGATTTTAGTTAGTAATTTATACAGATGTGATAGCAATGATATTGGTCGGTAATTCTCGATGTTTCTCTTCTTCTCCTTTATTGAACAATAGAATGACTGACGGAGTTGTATCATTCTTGAGTAATCTTTCCTTCATCAATTACTTTATTACTTAAATACCTGTTTCATTTTTCTGCCACCAATTTTCAACATTTTAACTGTAATTTTATCCTCTCCTGGACATTTATTCGTTTTTACTTGATTTAGGGCCATTCTTATTTCATAGTCGGTTATGTCCGGTATTTTTTCTGAGCCGGTGTTAATTATTGTTCCTTCAGTACGTCGTTGTTGTGGTTGTGCTTTTTCCGAGTATAATTTAGTGTAGAATTTTTCAACGGCCTCGCTTATTTTCTTTCTGTCTCGGACGGTGACGTTTTTCTCATTTTTTATATCTATGATTTTTGTCATTCCGCTTGAGTTTTTTGCTTTCAGCTCTTTCATATTGCAGTTATCTTGTAATCTATCTGTTATAAGATTGTTAGTATAGTTTCTATGATCGTTCCTAATTTCTTTCTTTACGTTTTTGTTTAAACTTTTAAAGCTATCAGAAGTTCGATCTGTTCTGTTTCGTCTTTCTTGGAGTGGATTAAGATGTTTTGGCTGTGTTCGTGTTTGAGCTAATTTTCTTAATCGATTTTCTCAGTTACTTTTATTCTATTGGCTAGTTCGTTTATATCCATTTGTTTCAGTGTCTCTATTGATTTTAGTCTTGTGCTTAGCTCTTTTTGGTATTCCGTTTGTTTTTGAAACAGGACATCGGTGGTTGGGTATCGTTCTCGTTTAATAAGTTTATTTTATGATGTGTGTCGCCTTATTTCAGAGGTAGACCAATTTATCTACATCTTAGGAGCCAAAACTGCTCCATATGCTGGTCTTTTTTATATTATGCCTAAAACCCAAGCTGTCACTTCCTCCGACTTCGCCGTTTCAATAGTTTTTTCTATTAGTCTTAATCATCACCTTGGTATGTAACCCTACACAAGGAGCCTTTACAGGGTGTTATTAACCGGGCTAAATGAACCATAGTTTTTTATAGAAGTGTTCCTTCTCTATCACTCATTTTTTTCCGAATTGTGACCGGCTACACCAAGTAAATAGCTGATCAGTTCACTCCATATCCAACGCAGGCAGGGTTGAAATAATATTAATAAAATGATACAAAGATCCTTATACTTACTGGAGTTAAAACTTCAACGTGATATTTCTTTCCTCCATGATATCTATAAACGAATGCGTCATCGTTGTGGTCTTTTAATAACTCCTCCCATTCCTCATCTAAAAAATACATAACTATAATTTTCTGAGCTAAAAAAGAACAAAAAACAAATCGTTAATACTATTTTACTTTATCTTACCAGTTCTTGCAGACGATGAAGGTAGATGTGTAATTCCTACACCGGTATTTATGTTTGGTGTACTGACTCCATATAGAGGTCGCGGATATCTAACATTAGGATTATAACTATCGTAATCAATATCACCGTCATCATTACTTTCGCATATTATTCGATTTGTAGCAGTACAGTATGCGTCTGCCCATTTTATTCCATTTTCATTACTATGCACTAATTTCAAACACATCTGGTCGTTGCTGTTTGGTTGATTAAAATCCCAGTTAGTGAAATCTACTGGTGTCCCCTTTGTAAACCATATCCAGTTTTTTCCATCAAGTAATCTTGATCCAGAAGACCACCAATTTTTGCCAGAATCTTAAAAGGAATGATATTACGATAATGAAACATTGTTAAAATAAAATTTACTGTTTGTCCTTTTTTACTTGATACAAACGATTACATTAGACATGCTAAATGAGCTGAAATGTGTATATATTCGCTTTATTTTGTAGTTCCCATCTAACTTCTTGGTTACTATCTTAGTTCGCCAAGGATCTATGACACAATGCAAATCAATAGCAATATTAAAGATTAGTTTAAAAAGAAGCTATGATTAAAAGTATAAAGTAAAATTTAGCAAATTTTGTAAAAAAAAGAACAAACAACTGACACATTATATAGATTGGCTACATGAACTCGGGAAAACCAATATAAAACCAACAGATGGGGTATTCAAATTGTATTGGCTACAAAACAAGTGATACGAAATATTTACCAAAGAATCTACGTCATGAGATATAAATGATGAATGGGAGAATTTGAAAAGATGTATTCACAAAGCAGCTTACGAGACCTTTAACGAGAAAAACAAAACGAAGAAGACAAAGGAAACTTAAAAGAGTCTTCAAAAATAGAATCAACATCAACAGAAATAGCATTGGGCGAAATAGTAGTAGTTCAGAAAATCAGTAATATTATTCACTACCGTATGCAACTGAATCAAAGCAATGCTGGAAAAGGGTTACTTCTAACAAACGTATAAGGAAAGAAGATTATGGCCAAAATAGCTAATGAATATCCGAAGGAGAGAGTGTTTTCTTCTCTCCTGTAATCACTTCTGGTAGATTTGCTCTCGAAAAAAACTTTAATCGGTTTATCCCAGCAAACAGTAGTAGTCAACTATTCAAAGAGATGAACCCTAGATAACATCTCGAGATGCCCGCTATGTATAGGTAAACTGCCAAAGAGGCAAATGAAGTAAAATGTATGTTGTCTACGAGAACCACGCTTTCCTTCTGTTGTTACTTCCATTTTCAGTACGGTATATTAGGCATTCCACCCTTCCGGTAGGGATCTATGGAAGAGTATCACCAAGGAAGAGTATCACTAAGCTGCTGTATAATAATATTGATGCATATTATTTATTGTCTGAATTTTCTTGTTTATCGGTCTGAGATTAATACAACACTTTGTGAATAAAACACATCTCCCCCTAAAGATTTTTTTTTATTTTAGTTTGATGGCCTTGGCCAAGCCAATTAGCCAGACAAATTTAAAGATAAACAATTTTAACAATCACAGGAATTTTTTACAGGTAGAGGAATAAACAAATATAAAATTACAATCATCCGTACAATCTAACGTGCAATTGTTAATAAATTATATTTTTTATTAATTATATTAATTACATTGTTAATAATTACTTATTTTTTAATTCTTTTTTTTTTCCTGCGCGAAGACATAACCCGATTCAACATCTCGGAGGTTTACATCTTCCTTTTTATTTTTTAATTCTTTATATATATATATATATATATATATATATATATATATATATATATACATATATATATATATATATATATATATATATATATATATATATATATATATATATATATATATATATATATATATATATATATATATATATATTTTAATTTTATATATATATATATATATATATATATATATATATATATATATTTTAATAAATATTATTTTTTTCCTTTTTTTTTCCTGCTATAATACAAGATTTACTTAAATATAAGGGTTAGTTTTAAGCTACAATTTATATTTACAGTTTTTGATATGTTCGTAAATCGATTTTAATATATTGATATCTCTAGAGAAAATCAAATTGTTCAGGTAGACGGGAAGTGGAATTTTTAATATAATAAGATTATCATAAAATTTGTTTATGTTTACTGATTCGTCGGAACATTCAAGGAAAATATGTAATAGGTTACCTTGTTTTCCGCACTTGCAATTAGGTGACTCCGCGAGACCCAACTTGTACATATGAAGGGGGGTAAGAGCATGATTAGATCGTAATCTGTTTATAACCCTTATGAAATGGCGATTTGATAGAGTATGAAATCATCTTTTTATGGGTATTGCAGGCTGTATTTGTTTGTAATTATTTCCAGTTCTCGTGTTTGGATAATATGTTTGCCATTTTTCTTTTTGATGCCGTTTACTAATTATATCAATGTCTGAAAAGGGGAGTAAGTTCAAGGGAGCTTCTCCGCCTATGTCTAGGGCAGATTTGGCTAAGCTATCTGCTATTTCATTGCCCTTAATGCCCGCGTGTTCCTTTATCCATGATATAATAATGTATTTCCCTAAATTTGTAATTTTATTGTAAATAGTTATAATTTCTAGTTCTATATGATTTAGTTGTTTGGACCTATGTACGTTTGTTAGTCTGTCGACGACACTCTTACTGCCTGTAAATATTATGCAGGTGCAGGGTTCGTTACTATGTATATGCCTTAATGCAAGAAGAATCGCTGTCATTTCAGCAGTGTATATTGATGATTCAGCTGGCAATTTCAATAATTTTTTAAATCCACTTTGAATATTAATTAATGCACATCCTACTTTGTTGTGTACTTTAGATCCTTCTGTAAAGTAAATCTGATAATTTGGCCATTTATGCTGTGTAAATGATTGAAAAGCGACTGGATCTAAATTACTTTCCATAAAAAAGGTATTAATATGTTTTAAGAAAAGCTCTTCTAATATATGGGAATACATAGGTGAAACTTGATTTTCATACGAATACAAAGTATGTCGGTATTGAGATATCCTCAAGTACCTATTTGCCAGAAGAGAACATTTTTTCTGTTCTGTTTCATTGTCCAATATTTATGAGTTAGATCTAAAATTGATAAAATATGAATATCCTGTAAATAGTTAGTATTTTTCCCTATGGCTCTAATAATGAATTTATCACTTAAAAACTCCCGTCGAAATTTCAGAGGTGGTTCTATCGCCTCAACTTCCATTAAATTAACAGGTGTAGTATTCAAATATCCAAGGCAAAGCCGAAGGCATTTATTTTTTTGTATTTCTAATTTATTTAAATGTGTGTTTGCGGCAGTTCCATACAAATGACAACTGTAATCGAAAATGGGACGAATCATAGTACGGTAAAATAAAAGTGCTACATTTGGATCAGCGCCCCAGTTAGTTCTACAAAAGGCTCTTAGAAGAATGTTCATTGCATTTTCAGACTTTTTTATGACTTGATGAATTTGATCCTTCCATAGAAGTTTTCTGTCTAAATAAGTACCGAGATATTTTATACAATTTTTAATAGGGAATTGAATTTGACCTTCCAGATGACCTTGTGGAATTTGATGTTTTCTAGAGAAAATACAAATTTCTGTTTTAGATTCTGATATTTCTAAACCAATATTTTCATAGTGATTAAGAACAGCTTTAATTGAGAGATCAAAATTATTTTTACATATATCCAATGATTTGTGGGCTGTGTAAACTACTACATCATCAGCATATTGAATAATTTTTGTTGGGCTATTAATACAATTTTCCATATCCATATTATATAAAATAAATAGTATTGGGCTTAATATGCTACCCTGTGGAAGTCCTATATTTGTAAGACTTGGTGGAGAGATGGAATGGTTGATTTTTAAAAAATTTGATCCCCCTAAAGATAAGGAGATTTTCTACGAACAATTAAAACAAAAAACCCAACAAGTAAACCAAGGTGATATACTAATAGCGATGGGCAATATGAACGCTTAAATTGGAGAAGACAATATTAACTTAAAAATCGTAATGGAAGTAATGAATGAAAACGGAAAGCGTTTGACAAATTTTTGATTTAATCGTAGCTTATTATTTATTGATGAAACCATCTTCCCACATAAAAATATCCACAAGGTTACATGGACTGCACCAGGTCATAAAAATCAAATAGACCACATCGCCATATCAAAAAGATGAAGGTCATCTCTTCTTTATGTACGTAATAAAAGAGGAGCAGACATCGTAAGTGAACAACATCTCGTAATCAATACCATTAAAATCAAGATGGCAAAAAACAAAATCAGGCGAAACACCAAAAGACCAACATACAATCTAGACAAAAACGGCTCCAGGACGACACATGTTTGGGAGAAACTGCAACTCAAAATAAGAGAACGTGAAGTAAATAGCTGGGAAGATTTGGTAAATGTTTTGACAGAAATAGATAGATAAACATAGAACATCAAATAAAGTCCAGAAAGTGGGGTTGGTTTGTCACACAATCAGAAAAAATAATTCCAATATTGCAAAGATTGCCCTAGAGTGGAATCCTCAAGGTAGAAGAAAAACAGGTCACCCAGTACAAACTTGGAGAAGATCCATAATGGACGAGATAAGAGGTCAATGAAAGTCTTAGAATAAGGTGAAGGCCTTACCGCAAAATAGAAACCGATAGCGCGTTTTCAGTGAAGCTCTATGCTCCAAATTAGTGTTCAAGAACATTATATAAAAACACAAATATCTCTATTTATTTAACGAAATGTTAATTCCAATATTCAATCTTTTATATATTACTTAATATCATAAACTAACTAAATACATAATATAATTGCAAAGAAGCTTTAAACTTTAAAGCTGCTTTAAATATCAGCATTTTAATATGTAGGTATGTAACTTACTAGTATCACGAATGTATTTGCTTAGTCTGTCATTTTCTTCTTTATCATTTATCGATACCAACTGCATGTTGATAATTTTACAAAACTCAATTGCTTGCATAAAGGAACCCTGAAATGAAGAAACACAAATGAAAAAAATATAGATATATCTGGTTGGGGAATACCCATTTATGTTAAATCACTAGTTCTTTTACTCGAAACCTTGGTTGAGAATTAGACTTCTCAACCGCTCCTCATTGTTCCAGCTTGGTATTTTCAATATTCTTATAGAATATTGTTGGTAATTCTTTATACATTTTACTTTCAGGTTTATTTCCATTTTATTGTTGCTATTTACCTGCTTTATATGTTATTTTGCCATATTTACCAATTGCTGTGCAATTGTAGGTGTTATTTATATTTTTGCTTTTAACCTAACGATTTTCGATATTGGTACACATTTGATTTTACTTTGTCGTTTGACAGTTATTACTATTACTATTTTATGTGCTTTATTTACTCTGTCGCAACACCGTTGCTCCAGGGCATTTTATATATGTGTTTGTATCTCTTTCCCAGCATATCACATTTAACCACACTTTCTCTACACTCTTTCTCATTTTACGTCTATATTACCTTTGATACTTAATATATGTATATTTGTGTGTATACTTATTCGTTTACTATTTTACCTTTCTTCCAGCTCGTATTTTTAATATATATATATATATATATATATATATATATATATATATATATATATATATATATATTTCGATTTTACTTGCATATTAATTGTTTCAACTAAATGATCGTTCCTTGTGTTTACCAATCATTATAGGTACCTCTCAGGTCCTCTACGTGGCGCGTCTGAAGTCAGTTCGTACTTGTGCTTTGTCACCACGGCATAGCAACAAAGCACACCTTCATAAGCTTGACCAGTGAGTTGTTAACCCATTCTATACGTGTACTAAAGACGGTTTCCGAATATTCAGTATTTCGAAAGTCAAACTTTTGTACATCGTATTGTGAGCGGGCAACTCAGAACAAGCTAGAAGTGTGTTTCCACCCATTTCTACCCGGTCACACACGTCATCCACAGAAGCACTTCGAGATACTTTTGCAGAGGGACAAAAAGTGACGAACTGACAACTACGGCCACAAGTTATTAAAACCAACTTGCCTTCAAGTCTTTTATTTCTTATTTCTTTTTCCCTGTTTTCCCTTTTGTCTTGAGTCATTACAGATACAAATGGAGTCACAGCGGATTCTCAAATCGTCTGCCTTAGCGGACAGAGCGACTGAAGGCGATCCACAGCCTTCCGTGGATTCACCTCAGCGACAGTATAAGCTGCAATTAATTTGTATGTTTAGAGCATTCAAAAATTAAAACTGTGTGTACCTAATAAGTGTGATAATTAAGTTTATGATTTAATAACATTATATTTATTATATACCATAATAGTTTTACCAATTTTCCTATTGTTTTATTTTATTGTTTTTGAAGTTTTATGCAAATAATAATTCTTTCATATATAAAAGTATGTATGTATATTTATCAACATTTAACCAAACGTTAAACACGTGTCTAAACCCTTTTGGTATTTAATGTAAGTTTTTGACCTCGAATTAATGAAGTTTAAAAATTTAAGAATTAGTTACTGATGACTAACTCCATTAACAAAATCCATAATTTAAAAAAAATGTATACTTACTGATATATATTTTGCAAAGTAGTACTTTTTCTGGCCAAAATGTAGTAAACCAATGTTTGCCGAGATAGTTGATTGAGTCAATAAATCATCCCATGCTAAAAATTGAAAATATAATGAAAATGAGTAACTGAGATTCGTCATGTTCCCCAAAATTTTATTAACTTTAGAAACCGTTTTATCTGTTTGTAGTATCTTTATGTTATATATTTACTGACTGTTTCTACATATTTAAAATTACAAATGTTCACAGGAAAACAAATTATTAGAATAAACAACTACAATATTCAACCAAATATGGCTATGGCTAGAATAAAAGCGAACTATTAGACTTAGATTTCTACTATATATTTTTTACTAATATTATTTTAAATAAATTTAATATTTTCTTAGCATGCCTACATTATTATTAATTTATTATCGACTTATTCCGCCACCACAAACCTTACCCCACCTCATGCACTTGCTTTACACGAAAAAGCACCAATGAACAAAGATAAAGTGCAATAAAAGTACTAAACTCTTAAGTTTTTTGTCCTTCTTCTATTTGCTTTCTGTATACATTTGCAATGTCGGGATTATTTAGTTTCTAACATTTTTTTTATAATTAAAATAGTAAATAATTTTTATTCCCGTTACCCCTGTTTCTGATACGCCCATGGACGTATCCGCAAATAGTTATGCGGGTGGGCTCTCTCACCCTTAGCAAATTTTATTGGAACATACCGACTATCACTTCTTCTTCTTCATGTACCATGTCCTTTCAGAACGTTGGTTTTGTACATAACTTATTATATTCTTGTATGTGCAGTTGGTCAAATTTAATAGGAGTTAGATAGGAATCTAGGATGGATAGATAGTAGGATCGGGGAATTAAATAATTGTACCTAAATTAATAAAATGTAAAATAACATATCACTAACAACTGCTATAAGTACGATGCTACGGAAATTACAAATAAAAAAATTATAACTCACTTGATTCACGATTATTTAGGTAACTTGCATATAGTCTTGGCTCATATCTCTCGCAAATGAAATAATTTAGTGCGTCACAGTTGAGATCGTTCCAAAAGAGATTATTTCCATTGGAATATACTTGCAGGCATTTGTCGTGTGCATCATCTGGTTGATTTATGCCCCAATTTGTATATTCAATGTTTTGGCCGTAGGCCATCCAAATCCAGTTGAGATCATCGAGAAATTTTGCCCCTGAAGTCCAGTATCCTCCCAGTTTATCTATAATTTAACACAAAATAAATTAGTTTTAATTCGTCGAAAAAAATGATAATAGACGAACATGAAATTCGAACAACCTGGTGTAATTATATAAGTGAACTGTATAATGATGATAGACAAGAAGAACTGGAGACTTTAGTTGAAGGTGAAGGACCAGAAATACTAAAATCAGAAATACTGCATGCTATAAAGTTAGCAAAGAACAAGAAAGCCGTTGGTCCTGATAACATACCGACAGAGATGTTAAAGCTTATAAATGAGGAGAACATTGGAATACTGGACAAGCTTTTCAATGATGTTTATTCGACTGATGATATGCTTGAAGATTGGTTAAAGTCCGAATTCATAACACTACCAAAAAAACAACGTCCCAAAAACTGTAGCGATTATAGAATGATAAGTCTTATGAGCCACACTTTGAAAATATTTCTACGCATTATCCATAGTAGAATCAGAGATAAATATGAAGAAGACCAAGATGAAACACAATTTGGCTTCAGAAATAGACTGGGAACTCGGGACGCCCTCTTTGCACTAAATGTATTACTGCAAAAATGTCGAGATCAAAGGAAAGACGTCTTTGCTGTATTTATTGACTATGAAAAGGCCTTTGATCGAGTACAGCATCACAAATTAATTACAATATTAAAAGATAAAGGAGTTGATAGTCAAGACATACGATTTATAAAAAAGTTATACTGGCGTCAAACAGCAACAGCTTCTATAAACGGAAAATCAACAGAAATATGTAAAATACAAAGAGGTGTCAGACAGGGTTGTATACTATCCCCACTGTTATTTAATTTATATTCAGATAGAATATTTAAAGAAGCGCTGCATAATTTGGAATGGGGCGTGAAAGTTAATGGAATTCTGATAAATACAATCAGATATGCAGACGATACAGTTATTTTAAGTGATGACATGAATGGACTACAATGCCTTTTAAATGCCATTGATACAGTGGGAAGAGAGTTTGGCCTAAACATAAACTGTTCAAAAACAAAACACATGGTGTTTAGCCGTTTAGCACATCAAGATGCACGATTATATGTTGATGGTCATATAATTCAAAGAGTGTCCAGTTTTAATTATCTTGGTTGCCATATTACTGAACAACTAGATCCAGATCAAGAGATAAAATGTAGAATCGAGATAGTCCGCACGACATTTTTAAAAATGAGGTCATTCTTCTGTGATGATAACTTGCAACTTCAACTTCGAAAGCGCATGGTTAAATGCTACATTTGGTCAGTCCTCTTATACGGCGTCGAAGCATGGACATTAAAAATATCCACCATTAATCGTCTGGAGGCCTTTATAATGTGGCTGCACAGACGTATACTAAAAGTTCCATGAACGGCTATGCTGACAAATGTAGCAGTCCTTGAGAGAGCAAATGCTGCTTGATAACATCAAATGTAGAAAGATGGCCTATTTTGGACACGTAGTAAGGGGAGACCGATATAATATTCTTCAACTTATTATGATGGGTAAAATCGAAGGACGCAGAGGAATTGGTAGAAAGCAGGCCTCTTGGTTGAAGAATATCAGGGAATGGACAGGAATAAGGAAAGTTGAGCAACTCTTTAGAATAGCTCGAGACAGAGACAGTTTCGCCATATTAATCGCCAACGTCAAGGGGACTTCATAGGGCACGTTAAAAAGAAGAAGATTTTTTATTCTTTTATTTTATTATTTTATTAATAATTTAATTTTATAATCAATGGTTTGATTTAAGGGGGCTGCAATGCATAACCCATTTGGTCTAACTGTACTCGTCCAAGTACAGCATCAAAAATGGCCTAATAGTGACAGTATATATGAACCAGTTTTGCAAAAGATGTAGGATTCTATTAGGAAGTGTTCTACTGGATTTTCACAAATTAGATCCTAGGTGGCGCTCCTTTCCCTACCTTTGCCGGAGTAATTAGAAACTAACCTCCATATTTCTGTTGTATCACTGAAGTGTATTTTGTGATGTTGAAAAGTATTATTGATAGTTTCTTTATCTTTAGGGTAGGTAACGTTTATTTATGCACTATAAGAAAATCCAAAATGGCTGAAAATCCAAAACAAACGGCCCTCAGTCCCGGGCCCCACTTAAATGGGCAGAGGGTGCTAAGAATCCCCCGGTCGGCAAATAATGTCCCAAAAGTTAAAAAAATCGGTACGTGGAACATTGGAAGCATGTACCAAGCAGACAAAACAGCAAGAAATGACTCGCCTGAACATAGATATTTTAGGATGCAGTGAAGTTCAATGGCCAATTCCTGGAATAAGAATTATAGATGAACACCATATTTATTATTCTTGAAACGACACAACAAGAAACAGAAATGGCGTAGCGATAATGGTAAAAAGGGAAATAGCTAAAGCTAGGATTTACGCCCATATCAGACAGAGTTGTGCTATTGAAAATGAACTTAAATCCCTCTAATATAAACATCATTCAGGTCTACGCACCGACATCAGAATCCACTGAAGAAAAAATAGAAAATTTCTATCAGACTCTAGAAGACAATTGAAAAAAAAACATGAACCTACTATTATCATGGGCAATTGTATTGCCAAAAAGGACAAGATACAGTCCAAAATGTCGTGCAGTCATATGGTCTTGGCATAAGAAACGATAGAGGAAAAAGACTAATCCAATTCTGCCAAGAGACGGATATGGTTGTAACGAATACATTACAATACCCCAGATAAAATCATAAGAAACGAAAAAAATTTTTAAGAATTAGTATGTCACAATTAGTTATAACTGATATTTAACAATTGGTAGAGATATTTTAACTTACGTTAGTATTTGTTATCGTGTAAAATAAATTTTAACATTATTAAAGTTTTGATCAAAATCTTTGATTTTTGAAAACAAAAAAGGTTCATTTTTTCTCAATCTACAACATTTTCTCAATAACTATTTATACAAAATGTACAATGAAGTTTAGAAGGTCAGAAAAAGAGAAGAATAACTTACTTGCATCTCTCATGAATTTATGTATCATGTTATTTTCTCTTTCACTTCTGATAGACAAAAGCTTCATATGGATATTACTGCAGAATTGCATGGCCAACATATATGAAGCCTAAAAACACAACATATAAAAACATCTGTCAAAAAGTTTCTTACATAAAAAAGCTCTAATGTTTATTATTAGAATAGTTTACTCGTTAAGCATTATGTGCACCACACTGGTGCATAGCACGTTTTTACCACAGACCATGTGTACCAATTTGTATGCTATTTCAGTACGTTATCGTGTTTAAGAGACTGTGACCACGTGAGGGATACATATGATAAATTAGAAAGGTCTGGTCTATAGAAAACGGAAATCTGTCTTGGTCCCTTAAAACCTGCCTCCAGTTTTTGTAGGTTAGGATTTTTGTTATCATTTGTCTTTCACTATGGTATCACCGTGTGCGACAATTATATTTATTTCCCGCAGTGATATTTATATCTTCGTATAATAAATAAAAAAGGATTATCGGCACCATTATTGGACTAGCCTTGTTATTTAATGTATAAATTATTCGAGAAATAAAGGTCCTGATATGCACTAGCCCCGTAATCAGGGGCAAGTGCACCGTACATTCATTGCAGGACAAAATGAGCATTATAACAGAAACTAATATAACCAATGTTACATTGGATTTCTGTGTAGATTTTGTATGAGATAATTAAACCAGAAACAAAACACTAAAAGTTATAATTAAAAAATAAAAATTTTACAAAACTTCAAAATGTATCTATTGATTTTTTAGGCTGCACTTACCCCACCTTACCTTAATAGAATATCATAATATGTATACTTGTTGCAATAAATTTTGTTCACTTCTAACAAACTGTGTGGAACAACCTGGTGCATATGATCTGGACTAAAACCATAAACAAAAAAATTGCTCGTAGTATTTTCACTGTATTCGACAAGATACTCCATTTTAACTTCCATCTGTCTACATTTCTTGTTCCAGTTGTTCATCTATATAAAATAGGTGACAGAATAAGTTGGTGACAGGCAGTATTATTGTTAAAGTAATTTTACTGCTTTATTTCACATTAATTGTCTTCGTAAAGGGATAATTACAGACTGTTTCCTGGGACACTATCATAGAACTTTATGGGGTCCACGAATATTATTATTGATTTATTTTTTCATTGGGAAGTGTTTTTTGTCTAAAAAATCTTATTTTTCTAGAAGTTTAAGTACAAATCCATTCGAAGTTTTTCAAATTTAATTAAAAAAAAACTAGTGCCATAGTATATAATAACAAAAAACAAATATTTTATCTTCTGGTGTTTTTTTTTGAGATTTTTAAATTGTGCATAATGATCCCAATAATATTATGCTTTTGTAATATCTTGATATCTGTAGGTACTATTTAAATCCAGACTTTAATGATGATGATTTATTCATCAGTCAAAATTGAATTTGAGTCAGCTGTATGTGAATTTTAATCATGTGTAGTAGTATTAAAATGTATTTATGTAGATAAAACAACCTTTTTTGGTACCCAGTTTAACAATTTTATAAAAGATTTTGTAGTTCTCGGGCTAACCTTTTGAACTAACAAATTTTGTAAAAGGTTTATAGTACGCATGTTAACCTTTTAAACTAAAAAAAACACATTCTATTAAAATAATTAAGAACAATTTTGCCATTTTTTATTTTATTTAATACTAAAATGTTAAAATCAAGTTCAGCAAAGTAATAATAGACGAAAAACCTCTGGATAATGGAACAGAAGCAGAGATCAGCTGTAATAGCAAAAGAAAAGAAAAGGATATATTTAAGATAGCAAGATGGAATATTGAAATAATAATGAAGATTGGAAAGATGGAAGTGGTCTCAAAATAACAAAATAAGTGTAAAATAGACATCACTACCATACAAGAAGTAAGATGGGAAAAATCAGGAGAGATAACAATGAAAAAAATGCCTCTTTTTACAGCAAAGAAAAGAAACAAGAAGATAGGGGAGTATAAAAAAAATGTATCCTCATAAATAAAATGATGGCCGTTCTCAGGTTAAATACATTAATAAATATATAAGCAGCATCTGAGATGACAATACGACAAGAAAAAGATGAATTTAGGGCGAGCGCCACTGCCCACCAAAGTGGCGTGGCAGTGGCAAGTAGCAAGTAGCACGCGTCTAGCATAATGTAACCAATGAAAACGAATGATTCAGTTTACACCAAAATGACAGTGACGTCATTCATTCTAATCATTCGTTTGGATTGGTTACATTATGCTAGACGCGTGCTACTTGCTACTTGCCACTGCCACGCCACTTTGGTGGGCGCTCGCCCTTTTACGATATGATAAACAAAGTGTGAAGAAATTACAAAAAATTTTGGCTAATGATATTAGGTGATTTAAACGCACAAATGCGTATAGAGCAATACCTTAAGTACCCAATTGATAATGGGAAAGAAATGATATATATGAAAACAAATAATAATAAGAAAGTTTTGACTGGCTGAATGGCAAATGCCTATGCCAAGAACAAAATTAGAACACCCAAAATAATACAAAACAACCTGAAAACATAGCCATTGTCAAGGCGTTGGATTGGATAATTAATAGCACATTATATTTCGAACGATATATAATTTTATCTAACTCACAGTCCGTCCTCCTCGCATTAAGACACTTTTCTAAACAAATATATACCAACAGACTAATTGTAGATGCGCTTGAAAAGCTAAGAATCTTAACTTCTTTAAAAAGAATTGTCAACTTTGTGTGGGTTAAAGGTCACTCTAATATTATAGGTAATGAAAAAGTAGACCAGTTGGCTAAAGACGCTACTTTAGTGGGTATAGAGTACAACGAGTTGCCCAAATGGGACATAGTTTCAGCTAGGAAGAAATATGTTAGACATAATTGGGAAATTGAGTGACAATCCTTTACTAACAGTAGCAAAAATACATACTGCAGTATATATCCAACTCTTCCATCTACTCCTTTAAGTGACAGAAGTCCCATCTCTCGGAAAATTTATACTATGTACGTTAGATGCCTTTTTGGACATGCTACAGTAAATGCTTACTTATATAAAATAAAACTTTCTGAAACTTATATATGTGAATGTAATGGCAGCTATGACGATCTAAACCACTGGATGTTTCAATGTCGGTATAATCAAGAAGCCATAAAATTTTTATTTCAAGCCATCTCTCAAGAAAAAATCATTTTGCCGCAGAACGTTGCTTCTATTATGTATTTAGGTAGTCGAAATTCAACTATAAGATCATCAATTTTATGGGAATTTTTCAAACGTACCAAACGGAAAATCTAAACTGCCCTGTTCAGTGTTGTTGTGTGAATCCGAAATGGTAGGACGTTAGTTGTTGTATTTCCCATTGTTTTTCCTTTTATGTCTTTTACCTTTAACCGTTGCCTGTATTGTTTGTGTTACAAAAAAGTCGCTATGAAGGGCACCTTAGCGTGAAGCGTGTGTTCCTGTTCAATCCTTTTTGTATAGTCACACAATAGTGTTTTTAATGGGAAGGTTAGGAAATTGAGTGAATGTAGTGCGAATGAACGAACGGTTAGGAAATTGTTATGAATTTGAAGGATTGTTTTTATGTATTCTATATTCTTATACCTATATTGTCTGGCTAAATAGGTCTTGTACCTAAGGCCAAAAAAAAAAAACCTGAAAACATCCAGCCGGATTCTTCCGATCATGTAAATGTCTTAAAACAAAAGAGATAGACCAGTGGGGGGCAAACTTTTTTTAATGGGGGGCCACGAAATTTAAGAAATTCTAGAGGAGCTAGGCTCAGAATTATAAAAATAATGCATTTTTAGTTGAAGGTTATTATCATAATATTATAAAAACATTACAGCATTGCACACTTGTATGTATTACAATATTAACAAGAAAATAAAAAATATTCATTAATTTAGGGGGTTATTTAGAAATAACTTTTTTAAAACTGTTATCAGTTTACACATTACCTTTATATGATATCCTAAGTAATAGGTTTTATCTTCAAAATGCCTTAAAGGCATAATATGGCTTCTATTAGAAGCAAAAACATTCTCCCAACCTAAAAAGAAATATTTTATAAATAAAACAATTTTAATTTAATTTTAATTTTAAATTTTTTATTTTCTTAACCACACCGTTGCGCTTGATTGTCTTCCTGATATCCATCTCCTTGTCCATCTCTTCTACATTTAACTTACCCTTTTCTTCAGCATCAAGGTCCACACTTTGCTTAAATACATTTCGTCCATAGTCCATAAATACATTGGCTTCAGATTTTACCACTAAATATTCTGTTTTTTGCAAACTTATGTTGACTCTCATTCCTGATATTCTCCGTTTAATCCCAGCATAAATTTCAGATCATAATCATCGTTATTAAAGCACCGCATAGGATTATTGAAAGCAAAAAATTAAAAATCGCTAGGTGAGAAAAAATAGAAGCAGTTAACGAATTTGTATACCTCGGAACGCTCGTCAATATTAAAAATGACACTACCCCAAAGATAAATCGTAGAATTTGCACGGCTAATAGATGCTATTTTGGGCTTAATCTCCTTTTTAAATCTACAGCTATATCGAGAAATAAAAAAGTAAAACTCTACAAAACAATAATACGCCCAGTCCTAACATATGGTTCAGAAACCTGGACTTTAACAAAAAGCAATGAAAACATGTTAAAATGTTTCGAAAGAAAAATACTGAGGCGAATCTATGGAGCGGTAAATAAAAATGGTGTCTGGAGAAGACGATACAACTTCGAACTCTATAGAATATACCAGGAACCAGATATCGTAAAACACATTAAGATAGGACGTCTGAGGTGGGTAGGCCATGTAATGCGGATGGAGCAAACCGACCCAGCTAGAAAAACGCTCCTTGATAGACCTATTGGTCAAAGAAGAAGAGGAAGACCCAGAACAAGGTTTCTTGCTAACCATGATGAAGACATGAGAAATATGGAAATACGTGCTTGGCGGAGGAAGGCGATGGATAGGGACGACTGGAAAAGAATTCTTGGGGACGCTACGACCCACACAGGGTTGTAAAGCCAAAATGATGATGATGATGAGAAAAAATAGAAGTTACAGCGATATAAAAAAGAATGCAATGAGACATGCACCATCGCAACAAGAAAAAAAACTGATAATATATTAAAAATGATATTGGAAAAGCTCACCAAGATTGATGATAAAATAACTCAAATCGATATCAGAGTTAGCCGACTAGAGCATAGCGCTAAAGAAGCTATGCAGAAAATCAGAAGTGAGTAAGGAGCTCCGAATAATGATGTGAAACGCAAATAGGCAGTTACAACATAAGTTCAAAATTGATCTGTGTCTCGTTTCTGAAACACATTTCACTAAACAGTCATATACAAAATTTAGAGGATATAGAGTATATTCTAATGTATACCCAGATAATTCAGCTAAAAGAGAATAATACAAAGAGTTTATGAACACTTTAGGGAAAAGATACATCATCGGTGACGACTTTAATACACAGAATACCCACTCGGGCTCTAGGCTCTAGGAAAGAAAAAGAATTATCGCCAGTTGTTAAAAAACAAAAGGGTAAAGTAATATATACTGGTAGACCAACATACTAGCAAAGAATATAGACGCTTATATAGACGCTTATAGAAGAATCTTTCACTGTTATGTTTAAAAGTTTGCAAAAGATGATCGCACGTTATGAAAAAGAATGAGAGGGTGGATCGAGAAGGGAGCGGTCATGTCAACGCTATTATTGCTTTTAAAATATGAAAGAGTGGGGCAACAAATGCAACAGATATTTTTATGTATAATGCCAGAGAACTACGAACACATAATGCCGCGTGGCCGTAGAATAGGATTAAATTTTTGCGTTTTATAATATTTTTTAAAGAAAATAATAATATTTTAACTTTTAATAAATGAATCATATTAGAAAAAATATTATGATTCGAATTTTTAATTTAAATAGGTACAAATCTACAAATAATATTATAGTTAATAAGAAGAACTCTCTTTTTATTAACTATAAAATTAATTCAACCAATAAAGTCATCAATCACCGGAATTAAATATTTCCAAATTTTCTAAATTTAATAATTTCTTCTTTGTTTTTAATATAAAATAACATAAAATGTAAAACACAACACTGTTTTTTCTGCAGAATAATGGAAACATGTCTAAAAAGTTTAATGAAAAGTCCTGAGAAAATCAAATTTTTGGTTGAATTAACCCAAAAATTAACGAAATATTTTAAAAAAATATTTCGTTAATTTTTGGGCAGAAAAACAGTATAATAAAAATTTATGTGACGGTTTTTCGTTGTGTTGGAACAAACCTATTTTTAATTCAAAGTTATAAAATGTAAAAAATAAATGCTTTGAATATTGTAAATATCATACCTTTTTAAATTTCAAAATTCAAAATTTAACAATTTAATATATTGAAAATAAAGATCTTATTGTGAAAAAAAAAACAAAAAAAGCATGGGATTTTTTTTTAATCGTAGATGCAAAGTTAAATAAATAGCTCCTCCGTTCGTACTCCTTTCCCACTTTCCCCTAATTACATCTTTTATGAGATAGTTTAAGCCGACTGCCAGATGTGTTTTAAAGTGTAAACCCTAACCAAATCGTCCATTTGAACTGTTCTTCTATAAGCGTCTATATTCTTTTAAGCGTCTATATTCTTTGATACTAGCCTACCGATAGAAACAAAATTCCAGACCTTCTTTATTTACAAAAATATCTCAGCTAACTATCTGGATATCGATGACGACTGGAACTCTGCTCTACGAAAACGAGCGAATACTTAAGAGATGGAGGCAATACATGGAAGAATTATTCAAGGAAGGGCAAGAGACAGAAGTCAGTGTTTGTCAGAGTACGTCAGGACTGCATTTTGTCACCGACGTTGTTCAATACTTACTCGGAAATGCTGTTCAGGGAAGCTATTGATGGTTTAAGAGAAGGTATAAAAGTCAATGGTGAAACCATTTAAACAATTTAAGATATGCGGACGATACGGTTTTGATTGCTGATAATGCGGGGGATCTGCAAATATTAATAGACCGTGTAGTGGAAGCCTGTGACAGATATTAAACTGTAAGACAACCAAAAGTCTTGTAGTAAGTAAAAACGACGTAATAAAGCACCAATATGTAATATAAGAACACGAGGCTTGAGATGATATATATTTCTACCCTCTTATATGGAGTCGAAGCCTGCACCTTAACGGAGGCAACAGCCAAACGATTAGAAGCCTTTGAAATGTGGTGCTACCGCCTCAGAATTTCCTATATCCATCATGTTACAAACAACACAGTGATCCAACGTATGAATAAATATCTGGAAATTATGCGTATTGTGAGAGTCAGAAAGATGACATACTTAGAGCATGTGTATCAACTAATTCAACTAATTTTACAAGGCAAGATAGAAGGGAAAAGATCTCAAGGGTGCAGAAGGATATCGTGGTTGAAGAACATCAGACAGTGGGCAAAAATGACTATCATATATCTATTTAGAGCAGCTTTCAATAAAGTTGTATGGACCAACATAATTACCAGCATCCACAGAGGATAGGCACCAAAATAAAAACAAAATATGCACAATAGGGTTTAAAACTCATAAGTGCAAGTGAATGTATTCCTTAGGGGGGAAGATAATTTTCAGAGGTACCTTAATTTATAGAGCTTTCCTGTATCAGACATGTAAGTAGTATTTGTTTCGTCGCAGATTAAAATTTATATTAAATTCAATTCAACTAACAAAAATTTCTAATTCTATAATATAGTTCTAATAAATTATAAATAAATATAGTTCTAGAATAAAAGTTCTAATATTTATCGATTTTCACAAAGCCTTTGACACAGTTGAGCTAAGCAAAATATTACAGGCGCTTAAAGAATGCAGGCTAGATTATAGATATACTAAATCATTATACCTGCAAGCAACAACCACTGTCAGATTACATACTAACAGCAATCGCATAAAAATAGAACGGGAGGTTAGACAAGGAGACCCAATGTCACCTAAACTTTTTAATACGGTGCTAGAACATGCTTTTAAGAATTTAGACTGGATGACAAAGGGAATAAAAATAGTTGGAGAATATCTAAACAACTTACATTTCGCCGATGATATACTTATAATAGCTGAAGATCTAGGTATGGTAAGAGAGATGGTACAGGAATTCGTTGTGGCTACAGAAAATGTAGGTTTAAATATAAATATCTCGAAAACAAAAATCATGACCAATTTGGTACCCAACCAGAACATCAGTATTGGTAGGAAACAAATAGAACTCGTAGATAGATATAAATACCTGGGACATGAAATTATGATTGGCAGGGATAACCAGACTCATGAACTGAAGAGAAGAATCGGCCTTGGGTGGGCAGCATTTGGAAAACTGAGAGAAACTTTTAAAAGTGAGCTGCCCACATGCCTAAAGAGAAAGGTATTTGATCAGTGCGTCCTCCCAGTCTTGACGTACGGAGCAGAAACACTTACCTTAACAAAAGCAGCAGCTACCAAACTGAGAGTCACGCAGAGAAGAATGGAGCGGTCCATGTTAGGAATAACTCTGCGAGACAAAATAACCAACGAAGACATCAGGAGAACCGGAGTGACTGACATCATCGAGAAGATAGCCAGACTAAAATGGAGATGGGCAGGACACATAGCTAGAATGACAGATGGGCGATGGACAAAGAGGTTATTGGAATGGAGGCCAAGGGAAGACAAGAGAAGCGTCGGTCGACCACCTACAAGGTGGACTGACGATTTAAGAAAACTCAATAAAAACTGGATAAGAGCGGCGCAAGATAAACGGGGTTGGAAACATGAGGAAGAGGCCTATGTTCAGCAGTGGACTCTTAAGGCTGGATGATGATGATGAACAAAAATCTTCTCTAATAATCCCTATACTAACAGCTGAGTGACTATTTAGTTTAGCTTCCATCAGACTCGTTAGGCTCAATGCCATTAATGTCCCAATACAATACTTGGTTTGTCAATCTCACTCTCAATTCATGTTATAGCTGCTCAGTCACTCAATTTGTTATTATTTAGTGTCATTTAGGGTATTTCAGTTGTTTATTGCATGTTTTATGTTATTTTGGCTTTTAGTTTCTAATACGTAAAAATAACGTACTGGGGCCTGATGATGGGGCAAATATTGTAAGCTTTGAAACTGGTAGTCAAAAATTGACCAACTTTATTATATAAAATTGTGAGTATTGACTTATTTCCCATATACTAGTATTATGGACTCACATTCGCAACCTTTTCATCCTAATAAAGTTGATATAAAAAACCAAGAATATTAAAAATCAAGAAAGCAAATTTAAAATAAAATAGGAAATACTTTTCTGTTGGTATGAAGCATTGATAAGGACTAATTGAAAAGAAGAATATATATACTTAAACATAAAATTAAATTATGAATATAATTTGACTAGTATATATCAGTTTATTTTATAATATAATATAAACAAACCTGAGAGATCTGATGGAGTAGCTATAGCTACAAATAATACTGACACAAAAATTGTGAACGTGATCTTAGGAAACATGGTGAACTATTGAATTCGGATCGCAATTGTTCGATGAATATAAACCAAGACTGTTTTGAAATTTTAATTTTGAATCGTACTTGACCTTTCGGATTTTCCAAAATTTTCTATACTCTATTGATTGAAATATTTTGCATGTTAAAACATTGTATAATTGTTTTTTAATAAAATAGTGTTTTATTATTTTTAAAATTTGTGAATTTTGTCATAGATATAGAGAGCCTGGAAGCGGAAGAAAATGTGGAGGAATTGTGGATAAAATGTAGAAATATAATAGCTGAGAAGGCATGGGAAACATTGGGGAAAACCAAACCAGTTAAACAAAACGAATGGTTTGACGAGGAGTGCCAAGAAGCAACAGAAAACAAAAATAGAGCATACCTAAAGACAAATCAAGCTAAATGCACAAGAAAAGCAAAGGTGGAATACCGGACCCTAAAAAGAAAAGAAAAAAGATTACATAGAAGAAAAAAGGCAATTTGGAGAAAAGCAGTTAAAAAACATATAATGGCTAAGAAATCAAAATAAAAATGGCTAAGAAATAAAAAGGAAACTCGAAAGTTCTACGGAAACGTGAACAAAATGAGTAAAGAGTTTAAGCCAAGAACAGAAAGCTGTAAGGATGGAGAAGGAAATATCCTAACCTCAATCTTGAACCGATGAGTTAAATTTTTCGACGAAAAATTTCGACGAAAAATTTAACGACCATTATATCTAAGAAGCAGATCGAAATGATTGGAATCTATTAAAGCCAAACAAAAGACCATCTATCACTGAAGAGGTTGTCAAGCCATTAAAAAGATTAAAAGTATTAAAGTACCAGAAATCGATCAAATTTGCAGTGAGCCGCAAGAATGGTGGCAACACCCTGCTACATTTCTTGTATGGCAAAATGAGACACTGTGAATGGTCTTAAGACGTAATATTCTCGTTACATAAAAAAGGCACTCAGCTCCAGTGTGACAACTACAGAGGTATAACCCTGTTAACAACTGCTTACAAAATACTAGCAAATATTCTATACGAAAGGCTACAAGTTGGCGTAGTTGGAAAGTATCAGGCCGGATTTACTTCAGAAAATATTCATTCAATAGGACAGATCCTCAAGAAAACATTGGAATTTAATATTGAAACCCATCACCTATTCATCGACTTCAAAGCCGCATACGACAGTGTCAAGAGAACAGTACTACACCAATCAATGTATGAGTTTGGTATACCGGAAAAACTTATCACACAGGGAGAAAATTCTTGATCCGTTGAGTTAAAGGATAGACTCAGACACGGGTTGCTTCCTATTTGACATTGCCTTGAAAAAGGCGGTCCGAGACATACGAATTAGAGACGGTACTGTCTACTATTTATTTATCTACAATAAACGATACAAATCTTAGCATACGCTGATGACATTGATATAATAGGGCTCAGCAAGCGAGATGTTAAGCAATATTTTCTAGAATTGGAAACGGCGTCGAAACGGGTCGGTCTAGTCACCAACGAAGACAAAACCAAGTACATGTTAGCTACTGAGGATCCTATAGCAACTGAAAAACGGAAAACAGCATTTTGAAGTCATCTTTAAACGTGTTGATAGATTCACATACCTTAGCTCGCTTGTGACTACTACCAATAAAACAAGCGAAGAAATTATTAAAAAATGAAATTAAAATAGAGCAAATTATGGACTTCACAAACAATTCCACTCAAGAAATATCCAAAGAAATACTAAAATTATTATATACAAAACACTGCTGAGGCCGGTTCTCACAAACGAAGTGGAAACATGAACTCTAACGCAGAAGGATAAAAGACTTCTGGGAATATTCGAGCGAAGATAAGATACTCCGCAGAATATTTGGAGCTATAAACAATCAAGGGCAGTGGCGCAAAAGATATGTATAATTTTGAATTATATCAACTCTTCAATAAACCAGATGTTGTAACCTTCATTAAAACACAGTGACTTAGATGGGCCGGACACATAACACGAATGTCTGACAACATGATTGCTAAAAAGCTTATGACAGGAACACCTATAGAAAGAAAAAGCAGAGGCCGACCGCGAATTAGGTGGTTACATGGAGTTGAAACCGACCTCGGGATACTAGTGATCAGAAGATCAGAAATCGAACAGAATGGTGACTAATTTAAGACCAGGCCAGGATCCACAGAGGATTGTCTAGCCAAATATGATGATGGTGGTTTTATCATTTACTTTCATGATTTGCTTGATATTGTTATCTTTTAATTATATTAATTATAGGTAAATAATTTGTTTTTTTATATATAAAACTTTAACACATTGCAATCACTAACTTTCCCTTTTTTCTAGGTAGTTCAAAATTGATCTACGACACCATAGACTAAAATACTGAGGAGAAGAAGATAGCTGAGAAAATTTAGAAACATTAGCTGTGATTTAGCTCGAAAGGGGTTTTTTAATACCTATGTACCTATGTGCATATGTCACCGTGAAAGTCCAAAAATGATGTGTGTCGACATTCACTGGTGAATGTCGATACACACCAAATGCCTTCCTGAATGACCGAAAGTTTACAAATTTTATTACAGTTTCGGGGTATTACCGGTGAATGTCGACAAACGCAAATGAGTTTCGGCGAATGTTCGAAATAAGCGAATGTAACTGATGTTTGACAGTTTATGGGTGGCGTGTTTATTTTTTTGTTGCCTCTTGTCAGTCTTACGTAAGTTTTAGAAGCTCGTGCCAAGTTGATTTTATGTTTTCCAGTGCCAAGCAGCTTTCTCTGCTTGATGCTTTTTATGATCTTGCAAATACTGTGATACACATTGTATTTGCAAAAGAAAGGGTTCCACGGTTAAATGTACTTATAAAGACAAGGGGCTTTTTTGCAATTTGAAAGGTCGTGGTAGTTTAAAGTGTTGCAATAAATAAGATTGTACACAATACATTTCCTTTGTTGTGTTTTGGTTTTTTATATTATACATCAAAATTTTAAATAATGTTTCTCTGTAATCTTAATAATATTTTAGTTACCAATCACTATTTACGCTCAAACATAATCTTCTTACGTTTATTAAAAGAATGTTCCCAAATAAAAAACATACCCAAATAATTTTTATTTTTACTTGATGAAAAATATATATGTTTTTAACATATACCAAATATTTAACCAATAATTCGAACATATGCCAAGCGACTTGGTTAATGTTGACATTCACCGGTGTATCTCGACATTCATTGGATTTCGAGCTTTCACACTAACATAGAAAAATATAAAGGTGGTGTAATTTCCTAAAAAAGATAAAATTTGATTAAGGAAATACAGGTTAGGAACAAGAGAAGAGTCATGAAGGAGTTCTACGTAAAGTTCTGGATGTCTTACGCGTCACGACAGCAAGAGAGACAAAAATATCCAAAAAAAGATAGAGAGCATATAAAACTGTGTCTTATGAAGCAGTTAGTCAACCACTTTTTCCTCAGCTACGTTTCTGTACGTGGTTTTTGCTTAGGTAAGTAAAATACTATGTCTGCTAAGAATAAATTTTTATGCTAAAATTAGAGCAAATAATATTTCAAGACAATAAAAATTAAACTAATAAAATTTAATTAAAAGTTCACACCGCGTTTATTACAAAAGCTTTATTTAACATTATCATTGTCTGATAAGATAAAATAGAACAAAATCTTTTTAATTTGTGATTTCTCTGCAGTCTACACTCGTGTTGTTATCAACTAAGTAAGTAAAGCTTTTATTAATGTCTGTGTGAGATTTAATTAGTCTATTTATCACAGTCTATAACCTTTTATTACAAATTCGCACTATATGTATTCAGTTTTAATTATCGAACATTTTTATTACATACGTACTTATTTAATGTATTATAATAATTATAATATTCTAATAAGTCGTATTATTTGATCTCCAAAAATCATACGAAAAGAACTGAATTTTTTGTTAATGTCAGTTTTGTAACCCAAAAAAAGATGCAAAAAAGTGTGTCATCCCTATATCCGGGCTTTTTTTCTAAAACTCCCCCTTGTCTTCTTCTTCTTCCTATGCCGTTCCCATTAACGGAGGTTGGCGACCACATTTTTAAAAGCTTCTCTGTCTTTTGCAACGTGGAATAATTCGTCTACAGTCATGTTTGTCCAGTCTCGAATATTTCGCAGCCATGACTTTCTCTTTCTACCTATTCCCTTTTTGCCATCGACTCTACCCTGCATGATGACCTGCAGAAGACTATATTTATTATTTCTTAGTATGTGTCCAAGGTATGCAGTCTTGCGTGCTTTTATCGTTCTCAATAATTTTTTGACTCGACCCATTCTTCTCAGCCCTTCATTGGTGACCCTGGCAGTCCATGAGATTCTCATCATTCTCCGGTATATCCAAAGTTCAAAGGCTTCAATTTTTTTAACTATTTGCGCTTTTGCACTCTCTCTATTTGCTGTCCACCAAGAGTTAGTTGTTCATTATTTATTGGACTCCTTGATACTATCATAAATTTGGTCTTATCTGTGTTGATGTCAAGTCCCATTTGAATGCATTCACTATTTATTGCATCTAGTAAAGTTTGTAGATCTTCTATACTCTCAGTCATAATTACCGTGTCATCTGCAAATCTCATGGTGTTTATGATTTCTCCACCAATTCTTATTCCCTCTTTTCTTTCCCATAAGGCTTTTCTGAATATGACCTGTGAGTACACGTTGAAAAGCGTCGGAGACAAGACGCATCCTTGCCTAACCCCTCTCGCAATCGGTATATTATTTGTTTCTATATCGTTCACCTTTACAACTGCTTTCTGGTTCCAGTATATAGCCTTAATAAACTCAATGTCTTTTTTGTCTAAATTGATGTTTTTTAGTTCATCTATTAACTTCATATGCTGCACTCGGTCAAAGGCCTTCCTAAAGTCTATGAAGCATACATATGCACTCTTGTTATATTCCCGACATTTCTGCAAGAGTACCGTCAACGCAAATAATGCCTCTCTTGTACCCATGCCTCCTCTGAAGCCAAACTGAGTTTCATCTATATGTTCCTCACATTTCTTATAAATTCGGTTTTGAACAATTTTGAAAAGAATCTTTAAAGGGTGGCACATTAGGCTTATCAATCTATAGTCATTACATGATTTGGGATTGTTGTTTTTTGGTAGAGGTAAAAATATCGATTTAAGCCATTCTTCCGGGATGTTGCCCTCTACATATATGTGGTTGAGAATTCGGGTGAGTCTCTTTATATTACCGTCATCTAAGGCTTTTAACAGTTCAACTGGAATTTGATCAGGACCCGGTGCTTTTCCTTGTTTTGCATTCTGTAGGGCATTCTTTACTTCTGAGGGTAAAATTTGTAGGTATTGTTTTTCTTCACCTATATCTTGTTCATTTTCTCTCTCGTCTCTCTTCCTTGTAGGGGAAGGGAAACGGTAGACATCTTCAACAAAAAATAGTAGCTATAATCATCATCATTGGCATTACAGCTCATTATGAGACAAAGCCTTCTTCAGAACAATCTTCCATTCGCCCCTGTCTCTGGCAACTCTTCTCCGTGCTTTAACTCCGATGGATTTTAGATCATCCTCTATGTTATCTTGATATCTAGGTTTTGGTCTTCCGCTGGCTCGTCTTCCCACTGATCGTCTTCGGTCGAAAATTTTTCTGATCGTTGCAGCTTCATTTCGCCTAATTACATGTCCTATCCATCGAAGTCGTCGTAATTTAATACATTTTACTACGTTAAGTTCCCCAAAACTTCTGTATAACTCAAAGTTGTAGCGCCTACGCCACAAACCCTGTTCTTGAACTCCTTCATATATATTCCTTAGAATGTTTCTCTCGAAACAGACCACGTTTCTGACCCGTATGTTAACACTGGCCTTATTAGTGTTTTATATATAATAACTTTTATTTTTCTGGGTAGTTTTGGGGCCATCTGTTTCCTCAAGCCATAATAGCACTTTTTGGCAAGCACTATTCTTCTTTTAATTTCTTCCCTGACATTGTTGTCTTTGGTCAGCAGCGAGCCCAAGTAGACTAAGGTCCACACCTTCCAGTTCCAGCTCATCAATTAATAGTCTAGGTATCTAGTTGGCTGATCTAGTACAATACATGTACTTGGTTTTCTGCACTTGTACATATTTATTAAAGATATTGCCATTCGTATTAATATGGCAGTATTAAATAAGATACACGACAGTCCATCTCCTTGTCTCAGTCCATTTTTACAATGGAAAGGTCTTAAAAAATCGTTTTAGATTCTGACTACAGACTCTACGCCTGTGAGTGTAAGTTTGGTTAGTTGAACAAGATGAGCTAAGAATTATATTGAACAAATATGTTACTTAAAACTTTTTGTAGAACGAGTCGTTAGAATAGAATAGAAATATGCTTTATTGTCACCGAAAATTGTACAATTTTATGGACAGAGCAAGAAGTCAAAAAAATAACAATAACAATTAAAGTATACTAAAATTACATAAATCGTCAATATCACAAAATTAATGATAATAAAATATACAATCCATTGAAAAATTTATTACTAAATTGCAAATCGCAATTTTATAATCGCAATAAAACTTTGCGTTTAATACTAATAAGTTTAAGTTGCTTCAGGTGATACCCAAATATATATATAAAAATAGTTTAGTTGCTTGTAAAGTTTGTTTAGCAGAAAATGGTTGACTTCAATTAGTACGGTCATATATTTTATTAAATTTATCTGACTTGGCCCACTGTTAAGACCTTGTACCTCAGGTAAACCATTTTTACCTGAATTCGGGCCTTTTATACTATTATCGGTTAACCTAGGATGTTTATAGTCGGTATATTATTATACTAATTGAAGTCAACCATTTACTGCTAATTGCTGAAAATTATATCTAATTTATATTGGAATCAAACTGTCAAGGTAAGAGTTGACAGCCAGTACACCGAAAATATCAAAATACAGAGAGGAGTCCGCCAGGGTTATTTCAAGGTATTTCAAGAAGCGCTCTCAGACTCAATAGAAGGTATATCTATCAATGGAGAAGTTTTGAATAACTTACGTTTTGCAGACGATACAGTAATAATTACGGATAACAACAATGATTTACAGAACCTAATGCAACGCCTTAATGAACGCTGTCATGAGTACGGACTGAAGATAAATTTGAAGAAAACTAAATGCATGATCATGACTAAATCTGCACATGCAAATATCCAATTGACCATTGAAGATACTGCAATTGAGAGTGTTAATAACTATAAATACTTAGGAACATGGATAACATCAGATGTAGACCAAACCAAAGAAATTAAGACACGTATTGAAATAGCACGTACATCATTTATTAAACTTAAAAAGTTTCTTTGTTGTCGGGATGTAAGGTTAGAACTACGTCTGAGAATGCTTCGATGTTACGTGTTCTCTACTCTTCTTTATGGTTTGGAAGCTTGGACACTAAAACAAGTTCATCTGAATAAGTTGGCCGCCTTTGAATTTTGGTGTTACAGAAGAATCCTACGAATATCATGGACTCAAAGAATGTTAAACATGGAAGTAACTAGAAGGATAGGAAATGAGGCGGAAATAATATTAACTATTAAAAGACGAAAACTTGAGAACTTGGGACATGTGATGAGAGGGCAAAAATACGCATTATTACAACTTATTATGCAGGGCAAAATTCGAGGAAAGCGAAATGTCGGAAGACGAAGAATATCCTGGCTTAAGAACTTAAGGGAATGGTTTGAATGCAGAAGTGCAGAACTTTTTAAAGCGGCAGTCAACAGAGTATGCATAGCCATGATGATTTCAAACCTTCGATAGAAGATGGAACTTTAAGAAGAAGAATTTACTGCTAAACAGACTTTACCTTAACGTACTGTAATTTCTTAGTTATTCGTTAGGAAACTATTCCACTGAATAATATGATGTTTCAGATAGATACGATTTTGTCAATTTGCAGAACTTAAAAAAATAAGTTGTAAATTTAAGTTGCAAAGGGAACTGGTTTTATATTTTTTTGCCGAATATAATATAGATTTTTTTACTAACTCAGTGGACGATATCGATACATACACATCAAAGTTTCTGGTGGATAGAAATAAAATATCGGGTACAAATAAACATGTAAGTGTTTATAAACTAAGCAAACAGTTTCTAGAATATATACCAAGGGAAGAGTTAAAATTTTTTATTTATTTTGATTTTTTAAGTAGCTTCTGCTTTTGACGACATAATTAAGGAAACAAAAGCAAGTATACACAAAGTACATATCGGATATAGTAAACTACGACCGGTTGGTATAGCTGAGTGTGCATTCGCAGATGATCTCATGTTATGTGCTTCCAACGAAAGGGACCTCCAGAAAAATATAGATAGCTGGAATAATGAGCTGGCAATCAGAAACATGAAGATTAATGTTAAGAAAACCAATGTGATGCTAATAGCGAAAACTAACCGAAATGTTAACATAGAAATAAACCAACAACTCATAGAACAAGTAGATGCATTCAAATACCTAGGGGTTACAATAGACAGAGAAGGCACCATGCAGAATGAAATAACAGAAAGAATAAGCAGTGCTTCAAAAGTGTACCATAATCTTAGTAGAGCATTCATAGGTAAACCGGAAATCAGCAGAAGAACCAAAATGACAGTTTATAAGACAGTCTTCCGACCAATCTTGATATATGGAAGCGAGAGCTGAGTTTTAACAAAGCAATTAAAAAGCAAGATACAAGCCA